TGGTATTTAACTTAGGTACATGAAGAGTGGAAGATAAGAGTAAAGAGTCTGTAGGCTTGACATTTCCCTTGCCAGAAATAGGGGCAAGAGAACCATCAGCTAAGGTGATTTTGTCACGACCAGGAARCAAATCATATGACACAAACAAAGTGGAAAGGTTGGTCATGTGATCAGAAGCACCTGAGTCAATGATCCAAGGGGTCTTGTGATTACCTGAGGTGGGTGCATGGTTAGCAGAAGCCCTTATACCTGAATGAGCAAATGCGGTGGTGGCTGGACTTCCAGAAGGGTTGGATGATGAAGTTACACCTTCAAGCTGGCTGATCATCTTTCCAAACTTCTCATATCCAATTTTCATGGCTGCCAATTGTGCACTGGCAGACTCAACCTCTGTATCTGTACTTGGTGTGTTTCGGCTTCTTGCAATATTCACACACCACCTCCTTCTTTCCTGTGCCACTRGGAGCTCCTGTAACCCCTTTGGGTTTAATTCCCATATTTGCAAAATGATCATTGGTACTGACTCCTTGAACCTGCACTTGCCTCCTACTTTCTTCACTATTGACCAAAGCATATGCTTGAGACAATGAAACATCTTCCTTGGGCAAGATGTTTTGCTTTGTAATGTCATATTCAGAATTCAGCCCTGTCAAGAAATCAAAGACCCTATTCCTTTCAACCAATTTCCTGTATGTTTCAGCATCCTTAGGGGTATCCCATGTCATAGCCTCTATCAAATCAATCTCTTGCCATATAGATTTTAGGGCTGAGAAGTATGCTGCAAGTGACTTCTCCCCCTGTCTTAGATTCTTTACATCACTTCTCAGTTTGTAAGCTCTAGCAACATTCAACTTCTGGGAGTAAGTTTCTRCAACACTATCCCAGATTTCTTTAGCCGAGTTCATCCACAGATAATGCTGACTAATCTGTGGCTGCATTGAGTTCACAAGCCACCCAATCAYTGTGTAGTTTTCTTGCACCCATCTCTCATAAGATGGATCATCCTCTGGAGGAGCTTTCTTGCTCCCAGAAATAAAATCCCGTTTTCCTTTGCTACAAATATGGATTTTCACTGATTGTGACCAAACCAAGTAGTTGGTCCCATCAAGCTTAACTGTAGTTATAGCCAGCATAGAATCGGTTGGGGTTCCCAAAATTTGTCCATATTCAGCAGCATTCTTGTTTTCAAGGCTTGAGAAATCCATCATGTAAAGGCTCCAATTAGGATTTTCAATAGGTTTCCCAAGGTATTTCAGGTTCCCAACAACAACTAGCTCACAGAATCAGTTCAATCTTGATAACTGTGACAGTCCAGTTCGGTGGTAGTTCTTTCTTTACTGTTTCAGCCTTCAAAGGACACCCAACAAACCTCCAATCACAAGGTATTTCAGGTTCCCAACAGCCGTTGTCCCAAAGAGAAGAAAAAA